CATTCATATAAACTCCTACCCCTAAATGAATCGCGATTTGTTTAGCATCTCAACCGTTTTAAATCGTCACATATTTGAATCGGTTTTCAACCGGCTCGCGGTTAATCGTTACATCCCTACCTACCATTAAAAGCCGTGCTTGAACAGGTTCTGCACGATCCTCTTCAATAATATCCTCGACGTCGTTGTTTACAATACAACCGGAGCACATGCCGATGAGGTGAGGGGCGGGACATTTAGAAGCGCTAGAGGCGGTTTAGCCAATCACAACACACTGGGCTAGCTAACCAATCAGAGCTCATCGCCTATTTCTGAGGGAGGGGCTTCATAAAAGCAGGAAATGATCAGTGTGTTTCTCCGAGAAGGGGCCGAGCGGAGGGCGGGGCTTCATAAAAGCAGGAAATGATCAGTGTGTTTCTCAGAGAAGGGACAGAGCGGTGTGGAATAAAGGTAAATTATGTGAAAAAGAATGCATTTTTTGAAAAACGAAACATTAACACATGTTAGACTGCACCCCATAAACACAATCAAGCCTAGAAAAAAAACAGTGAACCACCCCTTTAATGTTCTTTTTCCGTGTGAATAGGTCCACAGGAATTAATTTTTATTTAAAGTCTTGAATAAACTGGCCTTGAGAAAGACAGAAACCTAAAGGTCATAGGACATTTTACAGAATTGCTTGTTAAAATGCACAGAAATGGTCTCCAGTCTTTTTGCCTCCTGCAACAAAGCCACTGAACATGCTGCAGGAAGAGCAGGTGTGTGTGTATGTGTGTGTGTGAGATGAGTAGTCTGTAATGATTATAATCCCCCACCCAAACCAGCACTGCTGTTCTGCTGCCAACCTATTTACAAGCACCTCTGTTGCTCAAAAATTACATGTAACCGAGCTAAAGGAGACGTTGAGCAGGGAATCACTCCTCCATCGTAAGAGAGATTTAATCTACAGCCAAGATAAATCTGTCTGTGGGAAACTGCCTTACATCAATAATCATTCAGTAAAATGCATTATTGCCTCTACAAACAGGAGAGATGCATAAAATCTCGACTTTGCACACCCTACGCCAACTCAACATCTGCTCACTGCTCTTCAAAACGATTTCATCAAAGACTGAATGATGATATCCGCTGAAGTATGAATCACGGTTACATTGTTCTTTAAAGCACACCAAGTTTGTTAGTAGGGATGAACATTTGGACCACTAAAATATGACAGATAAAACTAGCCAAATGCTCTAGCTGAATGGGTGATGGTTGGATGTTAGTCAGTGGAATAAAATTCATTCCTTTCTATGGAAACTGATCCAACGCTCGATCCTAAAGTGGTGAAGGTCATCAGTTACGTAGGAGGCTTTAGATACAATACAGCCCTTGTAAAACCAAGTAATAACCTCCCTATATCCATTAGGCAAAGCAGCTCTGTGACTCAAAGTGTGAGGTGCATATAATTTAGTTAAATAGCATCTCAATTTAGTCACCTAAGAGAGTACAAGCATGAAGGCTTGATTTAATTACTTCACACATCCATAGCTGCCAGGAATTCAACCGCCTGAATGGGCTCCACCAACACACTCCAGCCCGTAGCCCTTTAATGCAGAAGTTCATTAAGTTCAGTCGTTGAATCAGAAAGCCCAAATGGATTGCCGATTTGGCTGCTAATATGGGAAGGTGTCGTTCTCGCCCCCTTCTCGTTCTCATTTTTCTCTCCCTACGTGCCTCCCACCATCTCTCTTTCTGTCTCGTTAACTCGCAGTTTTCCCCCCTTCTTCCCTCCATCTGGTGAGGAGCTGGCTCTCTAATGTGTTCTCAGCTGCAACTACGCCGCTGCACATTTGTGGCTTGTGCATCTCATTACCATCCCATTAAAGCAATTAATATGTTCCTGAATAAACGGAGGGAGGTGTGGGATTGGCACACATGTGGATCATTCAGTTTGTGAGCTGTGCAGAGGGCTGTTGGTGAAAGCAGACATGTGCTTATGAGAGTCGCTCACCAGATATGTGGTGTATTTGAACCACAGGTCCGGCACGAGGCAGTTCTCCGCCAGCGCTCGCTCGAATATGATCTGGACACGAGCCGGATTTCCTTCCTTCATCTCGAAATCTATGTAAGCTTGATACTCTGCCAGCTTTGGAGGTTCAGAGACCAGCTAGAAAATAAAAAAAGAACAGCATTAGACAGCTCAAATGAGAAACAACAGCTTTTGAATATAACAGGAAAGAAAAAGTCATACAGAAAAATTACATCTGTTCTAATGAAAAGATCGCAAGAGCACTTATCTGATTACGCAGCTGAACAATAACAACAGCCATATCTTTCAGCAATTCAAACAATTTGTGAAGTACGGTCTAATTCAATTCACTATTAAAAATCACTTCTTTCTGGGAACATGTCACAATCTTCACTTTCATAATCAGATTGAATTTGTTCTGTGATTTCAGTTCTTCCTGTGATTTGAGTGAATTTTAAATATGAATATTGTAAATATGCATATGTTGAATATGAAAATCTGCAGCTTAAATAACAGAATATAAGTCTTAATTGTACATGTTAAGTTCTGAGAACTTCACTGCAACAAAAACAGGGTCACTGATTAGTTTATGTATTTGTCAGGCTGAGGTCTACAAGCATGAATACAAGCTTTAAAGTCAACACTGGCTACCCAAACCCATTTTGTTTCTTTAGTGTCCTGAATGTCCAAGAAAAACAGGATATTCTAAGAGGGAAAAAAGGTAGAGCAGTTGATTTTGTCCATCAGGAATCAATTAAATATTGAAAAGGGTGTGGGTTTTGCAGTCAACTGTGAAGGACTTCTGCCAACACCAAATGGTTAAGCAGTCTTAGTGACGTCAGCCAAAAAGGAAGTTGTTTCAGAGATGGTTCAAGCCTTTAATGTTTGATGAAAGACCAAGAAGAAATTGAAGAAACAAGGAAAAAAAACAAAACAAACAAAAAAAAAACCTGGGGCCTGATGTATAAACGTTGCACATATTTATGCCTAGTTTAGTTTTTATAAATCCCAATATGTGCGGGGAAAATGGTGTACGCACATTTCCATGCCCATTTTGTGCGTACGCAATTTTCCACGCACATATTGGGATTTATAAAAACTAAACTAGGCGTAAATATGTGCACACCGTACGGACACTCTAGACCAGGGGTAGGCAAGTTCGGTCCTGCAGAGTTCAGCTCCAACCCTGAAAAAAAACCTCACCTGCCTATAGCCTTAGTAATCCTGAAGACATTGATTAGCTTGTTCAGGTGTGTTTGATTAGGGTTGGAGCTGAACTCTGCAGGACTGCGGCTCTCTAGGACCGAACTTGCCTACCCCTGCTCTAGACCATGCGTACACACACTTTTACTGGAGGGAGCGAAATAAGGAAGCAAACAGAATGATTTTAAAGTCTGTTTTACATTTGACATACACGTTTAGATTAAATATGACACTCTGAATAATAAAGTTAAGCACTGAAATTTCATGAAATTATTATCCAGAAATTACAAAATTTTTATATGAGTTTAAACAGAAATATTTGCAGTGGATGTGCTGCTTTCGAACAATTTTTCTGTAGTATGCGATTTAATGTTTCAATCACAGCGAGGATTGCTTGGCGTATGACAATTCCGCTTTAAATTGTGTTCTAAATAGCAAAACTCATGTTCTGAGAAAATACTTTTGCGCGAATAATAATGATCATTTTTGTGAACTTGACTTAGTTTGATGGCTTTGGAACATAAGACGGTAGCGACAGACATAAGGATGCACTTGTTGATCAAACAGTCCATTGGTCTGATGACAGTAGAACCTCTGTTCACAGGTAGACAGTAGCCTAATGATAACCCCTTTCGTGCTCTTCCCAATATTGTGACAAACACCATATTTAAAAGATAGAATTTGAAGGAAACTCTGTAAGATATGCG